CTTGTAAAGAATTTGATCAGATCTCCCCAATGTTGCTTTGTACATTTCGCGCCTCCTTGTGGCACTAGTTCCAGAGCCCGCTTGATCCAACGCAAAGGACGATGGAATCCCCCCATCGTGCGTACCGACCAATATCCTGATGGACTCCCTAACCTGTCAGGAACCTTAGCCATTCGAGTCGCTGCGGCGAATAAATTATATGGCATCACTTGTGACTTAATCCAGTTGTGTTTGGATTTGAAAAAGTACTTTTCAGTGGAAAACCCAGGATGCTCTTTCATGTGGCAAACTACCCCATTTGTCAAATTAATGAGCACTTTTCCCCTGCTCCAAGTCCTTTTTCATCACTGCAGGTATGGAAGTTCTCGTCGCAAACTAACCAAGTTAGTCCATAACATCCCTGCCTTCCAAACACTAGAGTGTTTTTGCCAAGGCGATCACCCACACGATCCATGGGGTCGCACTCCTGACGGTAAGTGGTCCACAGCTGAAGAAACAGCCTATCCATGGGAGTTGTGCAAAGCAATTGCTGCCAAACTCTTGCACCAACTCCAGACAGACGGGTACGATTGCAGTCCACCTGTTTTCGCCTTGCAGGAGTCCTCACTCCAAACAATGAGAGCCTCAACCGACATTCAACCACGTCGGGGCTTACCATCGATGGTATCAGAATTTGAGAGCGTCCAAAATCACCCCATCGATATGCCTTTACCCATAAACTCCAGACGCCTCAGTACTCAAGCCCGGGGGTATTCCGCGAGTACTGATGATAAATCAAGTTCAATCTCCATAGGCATCCACAGAAGCCCAGAAAAATTTGTGAGTGAAGCCATCAAAGTTGGACACCCCACCAGAGTTCACTCCCTTTTTCCTGACGAGATAACCGATGTGGTAGCCTTGAACTTGAAAAAGGGTAAAAACATGGCCTTGACACGAACAGAAGAAATCAAAAGGTGGATAAGCCTGTCCAAAGACCTGTCTGAACTTGAAGCCGACTTCAAAAAGAACATGTCAGCCCGATGCAGGACAATTCTCAAGGACAAGAAGCTTATCCTGTTCCAAAATCTGCTTGCTGAGGCTGGACACGAAGATGTAGACCTGGTTACTCAACTTGCCAGGGGCTTCGACCTCACAGGTATGTTACCGGAGTCAAACGTCTTCAACCGGAAGGTCAGACCAGCAGTCATTTCTTGTGGAGAACTTAGACGTGCGGCAGATTTGGGTAGAGCAGGTATTTTGCAATCAGTTAAGTCCCCAGGGGACCCTGACCTCGACAGAGACCTGTATTCAGCGACCTTGAAAGAGGTTTCTAAAGGTTTCTTGGCAGAAGTCCCTGACCTGATGACCTTGCCCAAGGTGCCACCTTAACCAGAAGGTTCGGTGTCAAACAAAAGAATAAGGTACGTCCCATAGATGATTATAAAGCCTCCTTTGTAAATAGCAGTGTTTCTCAAACCGAGTCAGCCACGGTGCATACGGTTGATCACATTGCTTCCTTGATCTCATGCTTCATGAGAGCGTCTTGCACCCGTGAGGCGAGGCCCACTCTGAGTGCCAAGACGTGGGATCTCGCGGACGCTTACAAGCAAGTGCCGTTGAGCGACGAAGCTTTTGAGGTGGATTCTTACTTGGTGGTTTTCTGTCCGGACACTTCCGGCCCAAAAGTTTTCCAACAGAGTGTGCTCCCTTTTGGATCAGTGGCGTCAGTCACATCATTCCTTAGAATCGCTCACGCCCTCTGGCGGTTAGGGACCAAGTTGCTCGGACTCATGTGGTCATCGTATTTCGATGACTTCTTCTCAGTGGAAATCTGCGACTTCTCCAGACACACTGACCTAGTGATAGCTTCATTCTTTAGCATTTTGGGTTGGAAATTATCAGCTGAAAAGCTGGTCGATTACCACACCATTTGCAAAGTCCTTGGAGTGGAGTTTGACCTGGGAATGTCCGGAGAGAGCCTTTCATGGGTTTACAACACCGGAGACCGGGTGGACGAACTGTGCCATCAATTGGAGGATATCATTCAGGCAGGTTTCCTCAAAAGGTCTGAGGGTGAAAGACTGAGAGGGCGACTACAGTTTGCCTGCGGACAACTCTTTGGCAGAGCTGCCAGAAACCACCTCCGTATTCTTTCAGATCACATCAAAGGTTGCAGAAGTAAACTTGATGATGACACTCTACATGCCCTAAGGCAAATCAACGAGCTGATCCGTGCCAACCAGCCCAGGAAGCTCTTAGGGACCTTGACTGACCATTTTCATGTGTATGTTGATGCATCTTTTGATGATGATGGCTATGCCGGCATCGGTGGCGCCTTATACAATAGCTCAGGACAGGCAATAAAATTCTTCAGTGAGAAAGTTGACTCGAGTTTCGTTGAAACAGTGAAACAAGAAAACCAAAAGAACATCATCCAAGAGTTGGAGATGCTTGCTTTGCTGACCGCCGTCGAAGCTTGGGGTCCCGTGTGGGAAGGCCACAGAGTTGTGGCATTCACAGATAGCGAATCCGTTCGCGGTAGCTTTTTGAAAACTTGGTCCAAAAACTGTCCTTGCAACAAGTTACTAGCTCGGATATTCCTCTTGGAAGAATCCCACACTTGCCCCTTGTGGCTTGAGCGAGTGCCAAGCCAGTCCAACCCTAGCGATGTTCTCTCACGAAGCCAAGTGGCCGTTTGGAAAGGGTTGGCTAGGGAACAAGTGGACTTCAGAGCCATCTGGAGTCATGCCATCAATATCCCGGGGTAAGAGCGCGATGCATGACAGTGAGACCAATTCTCCCCATTGACAAAAAGATTGAGTGCGGCAGCAGTGTTTTGTGTATTTGGTTGATGAATCCTCACGGCGAACTTTTGTCACGAGTGAAATCAAACCTTTCGAGTTTATCACCACAGCGAATGTTTCGAGACATGTAAGAATACTCTCATGGAACATGATAGATTTTTACATACAACGGAACATGAAGAATGTAATGTTTAATTACATGCCTGTGGTGATGTCAGACAACATTTGAATTGACAATGAACATGTCAAAACCAAACAGTGCAGATTCATTTGGGACTTGCGGAAAATCCATCCAGTGAACATCATCTCAGCAACCTACACGCAATTCAATTGATGATTTGTGATCATGTTTACTTATGATGCGATTTTGGATTCAAGCTTCAAGTGAAGCATAGTGGCAAGTGCCACAACACGACATGGCAAGTGCCACGACAGAACATTGCATTCAATGTATTTTCACACTTGACATGTCGTTCAACCTGTGAAAGTAAACATGAACATGTTCACAAACATCAACATCATGTTCACTTTCAGAAATTTTCGTCCCACCCATTTTTATACCATCCCACAATTCATTGCTTCACGTGATGCAATGATTTACACGATCCAAGTAATCTCAACTCTTCTTTTCATTTTAGCCAATACCATGGCCGAGCCGTCGTTACAAGCTCTTTTTCAACACGTGTTTGTCACCCAATCGTTCCTTCATCAACTGCAGAATGCGGAGGAGTTCCTCAGTGACATTTCGGATCATCTCGATGAGTACGAGATACCACATGAAGACGTCTACATGCAGATCCGCACCGGGATCCGCCAAATGCGTATCCACTTGAGCTTCCTCCTCGCAATCCAGTTGCTTGAAGTGTGTCGTCGCTTGGAACGACATATGCAAGTTCATGGTCGCTTACCCAATCTCGACCTCAACTTCCAGTGACATCACTCGAGAGCACTACGTTTTCCAGTTGCATCCGCCGTAGCACTGCTGCCTACCCTAGGCCAGAGCGCGATGCATGACAGTGAGACCAATTCTCCCCATTGACAAAAAAATTGAGTGCGGCAGCAGTGTTTTGTGCATTTGGTTGATGAATCTTCACGGCGAACTTTTGTCACGAGTGAAATCAAACCTTTCGAGTTTATCACCACAGCGAATGTTTCGAGATATGTAAATTATGATAAAATATTCTGATGATTTTTTATGATATGAATTTATGTGATGATGGATGATGATGAAATGATGTGGGATGATGATGTATGAAATTATGTGGTTTTATTTTGTGTTGATACCCTGATGAAATGATAAGAACTGTTGTGAAAATGAACTGTGGTAAATGATGAAATGATGGAGGTGGATGATATGACCTTAGGTGTTTTTGTGTCTAGCTATATATATATATATACACTGTATATTTTAATAACACACATATATAAAAACATTGGAGCTATAACCAAATGTCTCATTCCTTTCGCGATGATGATCCGCAGAGACCCACAAAGCGAACCCCTTTAACACAAATGGCTAATGACTTCTTTCTCACAACCCTTTAACACAGATGTTTGCCTGTTTGCCTAAGATTCCATTCAACCCATAAAAATATATGCCCCAGTGCCTGGATGAATAAAGGAAGGAACCCTAAATTAGCATAAAACCTCATTTGAAATACTACCCAGACCTAAGAAAAATTAGGTCTGGGTAATATTGCTTACACTCCAATGGCTCTCCAGCCACTCAGCCACTCAGCCACTCTGAATGACTGAGTGGCTAGACCAGCCACTCAGCCACTCAGCCACTTTGAGTGGCTGGTCCAGCCTCTCTGGCAGAGTGGCTGAGTGGCTGCTTCGATTTCGCGAGCCGTGTTGCACATCCACTCCGTTTTTACATTTGTTGGTCAAGTGTTCTGTCTTATGTTTGAGGGTTTCTTTGCGCGGCGCGTTCAACTGACGTGAAACAATAATGGAATGTGAGTGCAAGAGCTCTTGAAACGTTTTTTGGTGCCCTGGAGTTTTTGAGCAACGGTGGTTGTTCACAATATTAGAAATGGGGAGGTGAGATCGTTCAGCCCCCATGTTGTGACAGGAGTTTACTTGCATGCTCCATTGCACTTGACAATTCTTTTCTGGTTGTACATGGCCATAACTTAGGGCATCCCCCGTTTTCAGATCAACTCAGATGATTGTTTTGGCCGCGGTAGATTTGTTTTTGGGCTCAAGAACAGACACTGACGGTTACCCCTTCCTTAAAGAACCATGGGAAACTCAGTGCCGTCCAAATTAGTGGCAGATGTGGTTCCCGTGAACTCGGAGACGACCTTCTTCCCAGGCGAGATTGGGTGTTGTCCCATGATTGGATTTTTGATATTACAACACCTTTTTGGCTGGTCAATGAACTGAGAGAGTGAGAGATCGCTTTGTCTTCCTGGAATGTTTTTTTTTGGTTCGATTGTACACGCATTGTTTTTGTCTGGACACGGGGGGCAACCAATAGAGAACATCCTTGCTGAAGTTCCCCGGTTTTCAGCACATGGAATACATCTGCAGGATTATGGGCCATGGCTTTACCAACCATTTTTAATGTGGGTCAGCCCTTAGACATTTCCCGTGGAAAGCTGCAAATGAAATCCTGTTGTACGTGGCTGATTATATAATCAAAAAACGATTCTGGGTGCTGCACATTGAACCACCAAACATTCTACCACCAACACCAGTGGGTAGAATCACTCGTTCGGGGTTAAAAATACACGCAGTTTTGATGATGAAATGCCTATTCCCAGAATGTTTTTTTTGAGTTTCTCTTCGACTTTGTTCCAATTACAGTTATCATTCAAACTTGGCGCTGACAAACTTGATGATTGATCATTATTTCCATCAGTCAAATGTCGGTACATCATGGTTTAAATTTCCGCTTCAAAAAATGCAATCTCCTCACTGATTCATGGTGGATCATATTGTTGGTATATACAGTTCAAATATATCGCATCATATTTCATGATATTCCCATCAAATTGACAAACATCCCCTTCATCCCATGTTTTAACGTGACCATTGCACAAATTCAACATCAGATTGTAATATCTCATTACATTTAATATCCCCATGATATCCCCATGATTGGTGGTTTCGTCCGATTGAAATCCCATTCAATCTCACTAAAGTCCATTAAAATCACATTAAAACCCTATTATATCACCATTATGGCTAGTTAAATCTCATGAATTCCCATTAAATCCCATCATGATGGATCTCCCTAGGGTTTTTTTTCATGAATTCCCTAGGCGCTCATAACGCGTACAACGCCAAGTTCTGTCTTTGCACCTCCGGTGGTGGCGCGCGTGCCATGACGCACACCATGGGGGTGTACCGAGCCTTGCACGAGATGGGCATTTTGGAGGAGGTCGATGGGATCAGCCCCTCGATTCGACTCGATCCCTCAATGGCAATGCCTTGGATGGGGGTTGGAGGGGGAAAAATGTTGTGGGATTTTTACGGCTCCTTGTTGTGACAACACTATGTTTACGTATGGTTACTATGATACACTTAAATAACTATTGTTTATATGATTTATATGTGTTCCTTAATGGGGGGATCTCCAATTCCAAAGTTACTATGATTTATGCTACGCAAACAACTCTGGTTGATATGTGGAATGCCCTTTCAAAAAGTAGGGAGTTCTATGTGCCATATCTTCTATATGTGCATTTTTTTTTGTGCCATGTTCGAAAGTGGGTTTGTTTTCCCATCAATTGGGGGCTGGTCATCAATCCATTTTCGTGGGGAGACAAATATAATTTATATCGCCACTTCAGACTTGGATTAGATGACCATAAACATCCATAAACATCCATAAACCAAAACCATATATCATACATATACATCATTAATACCATCATTACACTCCACAAACATGATATTTTGACCATGGAGGTTTGGAGCTGTTTAGATGGGATGAGAGCCTGGGATGGCGGCATGGCACGCTAAGATTCACTGAGTTTTTCTAATGTCTACCTTTATAACTATAGTTTATCACTTTTACATCGTTTCCAATTGTTTATAAAGTCAGAAGAATCGTTTCAATTCTAAATCTATAAATATCGAAGCTTCCCAGTGATATCTTTTGGCGAAATCGTTGATTTACCGATGATAAGTTGATGGTGATTTTCCTAACAGGCCGTTCAGGCTATCAGCCCTCAGTGACAGGCTCGGTGTCGGGTGGCACTTGGGCCTCGTCCATCTACATGTTGCTCGGTGGAAAATCCATGGACGGCTGAGATCATTTTATCCCATGGAAATCCACCCTTTTAAAAACAGATAAGGAGATTGTCCCAATTTCTCAAAAACTGCATGAATTTCGAATTTCGATTTTTTTCTGTCGGGAATTTCCCACCAATATTTGAGGACACTGGGGCTCTGGTATTCTTGGTGCTTATCCATTTTTGACTTGGCGAACCATATCAATTTTCCAGATCCCACATGAACCTGCAAAACTAGGAACATAGACCAGAAACGGTGACCATACTGGTACGTAATGATGGCTTATCAAGATATATATATATAATATAACAACTAAAATCGGGACATTGTTTATGGTTTTGCGTTCACCACATTACTCCGATTCAGGTTCTATCTGCATCAATCATCATGTAGAGTCTCCATCAAAACATCCATTGGTGATCCATTCATCAATTCAATTTTTCTTGGTTCTCCACCTGCAACTTCGATTTTTCTTGGTTATCTTTTTGTCACTTTGTCTTTTTTTCCAACAGTTATCTTATCTTCTTGCAATCCACCATCCTTCTATGTGTGCTATGGTCAGATTTTGATTGCTTTTACCCATATTGGGGGATGGTTTTTTTAAATCCATTTTCGTAGGGATTTAATTATTCACACGAAAACACATGCTGATGGTAGGATGACCTGGGATGACCATGGCCCGAGAAAAACCATCGTGCTTGACAAGTTTCTATATATTTATATAGTATATTTTATATAGTATATATATATATCAGTATATCATGATCCTGAAGTAGATAGAATATTAAACTCCCTTTTGTTTGCAGTGAAAAATCCCTAGATGGTTCTTTGTGCCTCCAGAATCCACAATGCATCAAGGCACACCAAACTTCCTACAAATTGATGGGTTCCATCTCCGGTTTTCCGCGAAAAAAAATCAAACAGATTCCTATTTTAGACAAGTTTTTTTTATTTTTTAATATTCTATCTAATTACTTCCAGATGCCTCTAATATATGTGTACATACATACATACATGCATGCATGCATGCATACATACATACATGCATACATGTATGACATGCATACATGCATACATGCATACATGCATGGATGCATACGTGCATACATGCATGGATGCATGGATGCATGGATGCATGGATGCATGGATGCATGGATGCATGGATGCATGGATGCATGGATGCATGGATGCATGGATGCATGGATGCATCCATCCATACATACGTACGTACATACGTACATACGTACGTACATACGTACATACGTACATACGTACATACATTACATGACATTACATTACAGTACACTACAGTACATTACATTACATTTACATTACATATCATTACATTACACTACATTGCAATACAATACATACATACATACGTATGTATTCGTGGCTAAAACCACCATTTCCTGGTGAACTGCCCAGACCGCCGAGGTTCGGCAAAGACTTCGAGGGCAAAGCCATCGACACTAGCACGATGCTGGGGCCACGCAGCAACCCGCAGCAGCTGACGATGGAAGTGTTGAGACAGGAAGCCCCGCCCTTGGCCAGGGGCTTGACGTAGCTGGGATTGTTGGTTGATGGTTTTGTCCTGTTGGGTGCTTTTGACCTAACCTGAATGGATATATAATGGAGGTATAGTCTGGGATTTTGATGGGGCCTGACGCGCTGGAACTTTTATGGGTTCCCATTGATATGGGTATCTAATTAACCATGGGGATATGGAGATATAGTCCGAGATTTCATGTTAACATTCCCTAGTTTTTCATGGGATTTTACAACAGGATTTTGCCATCAATCGCAGGGGTTTAACTAACAAAGACATGGGATTTATGTTTGGATTGTGTCATTTGTATGACAATTTAACGAGTAGCAGGTAGTATTAACGGATATGTAATCCACATTATATCCCCATGATATTCCCATTATATCTCCACTATTTGTTGGTTACCCCATTCATCCGATAAATCCCCGTATAAATGGCATAATTCCATCATAAATCCATCATAAATCCGTCCCCATTTCTCATGTCACATTCGGCCAAGCTTCCGAGGAAGGGCAACTCCAGCGAGCTATTGAAGAAGCACGCGGGCACCAGGCGAGACAACGAGGTTTGGGCACGCGTTGTGGCGGATGCTGGGAACAGAACGGGGATGGGAACGGAGATAAACGCTGAGCTCGGTCCAAGCTGTTTCCGAATGTGGGGATTCAATGGTGTTGAGTGGGGAAGATATAACGGGGATATAACGGGGATATGTAACATATTCTGTAACATGTATGATTATGTATGCATGTGTAAATTGTAGATTGACCGACCAAAATGGGGGCAGAATGGGATGTGGGATGACCCTGTTGCTTCGGTCTACCTTTTTTTGGGGGGTTGAATCTATACGATAAGTACAGCTGCAGCTACCACAACATGCCATAACCAATGGAACTTGTGGTTTGTTTCTATAGTCTAAACCATAGTTCAATGGGATGAGCCAAATATTCTTTTCGCTAATTTTTTGGGAGATGTTGAACACCCTTGATCATGGCGGCCAGGACTCACTTGATAGCCATAGCATGGTGAGTAGATCGGGCACCAAATACAACACCCATGGTTTCCAGTACTTTTACATACTTTTACTCATCCTGAAGTAGATGGAATATGGACTTTTTGAAAAAGAATCCCATTTTCATGAGGATTTGTCGAAAATTCCAGAATCTATCCACTTTATGGATAGGATGACAGCATGGGGACTTGTTCGTGATTCCATCAGTTTAAGGATATGCTCTTGGAACCCTTCGGCTTAGCGAGTTTCGATTGCTCTGTGGCGAAGAGCGAGGAGGATGTCGAACGCATCAAGGAGCGGCGGAAGGGCGGAACGGGAGGCACTCGTCTTAGTTAAAAACATGGAGAGGTTCGGAATTCTGGTGATATAAATATTCCCAGCCATGCGGAGTCAGTTGGAGCTATGAAAGTAAGATCAGATCATCTCACAAGCGCTGGTTTCTTCGGGGATCCAAAAGTGCAGCTCCAAATTGGACGGTAGGAATGGAGAAACAAAGCCGAATTTTCAAACAACAGCCAGCTTGCTTATTTGTGTCTTTTCAATGGATCAAATGAGGGGTTGATGAGTGCTTGGCTGCGTTTTGCCAAGTGAACTGTTAAGCTCTTCGTGAAACGTCCATTTCGAGACTTTTTGCTGCCTGAAGGAGGAAAATCCGCAGATCAAGGCACAATCTGGGAAGGTCTTGGGATGCTAGTGATTTTCACCCGGAAATTCGTCCCTGCAGCATTCCATGAGTTGATCTCGCTGATCTCCATCTCCATTATCCACAGGTCAATTTCATCCATTTTCCAAGTCGTCGACCCATTGGGCTCAACGTGCCCAGGATTGGAGCTTCAAGACGCCTCGCACGGATCGACCCAAATTCTTCGTGATGAATGGAGCATTGTTGGCGCCAAAGGACCATTCGATCAATGAGGACAACTTGGCAGCTAGTCAGATTCGGGATCTGAGGAAAAAACGCGGGAACCTCATAAGTGAAGATATTCACTTCCTGTGGTGTTGACAGTTCTTGCTACACCCAATCAACCCATCAGTTGGCTTAATAAACTTCTACAAACTGGCTATCCTCTTTACTTAATACTGAAGATCCCAAACAGAACGTCCTGGTTTGGTATCGGATCTATTTATTTGTGGAGCCCGAAAAACTCCAGGGGATTTCATAATATGATCAAGAGATGTGATTTGACATATATAGACATCAGCTTTTGGGAGGATTCACCACCATTCAGGTGATATATATAAATATGGTTAAATGTGGGATATATATGTATATATATATTAACCCAATCCACCATTCATCCCAGCAGTAAGATTACTCAGATATCGAGATTGGAAACATAGCGTATTATTTGGAATGATGTGGGACATGGGATACTGTATATATATATATTATATACATACATCTGTATCTGTATATATATATATATTCATTAAAATCGAAGCCCCCAAAATTGGATGATTTCAGATCCCTCAAACGACTTTTTTTTCGGCCGTGTGGATCAGCCTGGTTGCTGCGATGTGAGGTCTCCTTCCAGATGTCGCCAGACTACACTGGCAGCCCCTTTTATCCCCAGGAGAAAAACTTTGTTGGTGGGATATATATGGGTTTATATGGGGTTTATATGGGTTGATCATGTCTATATGATATGGGGTTTTCCATAGTCATGGGATGTCATGGTGGATCCCCTTTATCGCTGGATTATGGGATGGATGGGATGGATGCAGTGTCAAAGGAACCTGGGGATGGCCTTGCACAAAGTGGTGCACAAGGCAAGAGAGCAAAATCTGCAAGGAAGGCTGATAAAAAGGCAGTGGAGCAACTATATATATATACACATTAATAGATTGTTTTTTTACTCCTTGGTGGCTTCAAATATGATTCATTTTGAACATTTTCAAAGCATATTTGGGATGATGTCCTTCCATGACCAACATTTGTTTGATGCGTTTAAACTACCAATTAGGGTTTACATTCCTGCCAAGTCACAGCTTCGGCTTGCAACTTTCGTCACTGAGTTTGACACAACCTCATTTCTGATAGTTTTTCAGAAAGCGACATCAACCAGCTAACTAGCTGTGATGTCGTAGATTAGGATTTTATATACACACATGCACACACACATATATATATACACACATACACATATAAATGTATGTGCATCTATTTCTCTAATCAAATCAAATCGATTCCAATGTTTCGTAGATATTCACATCATGATTCCCAGCTTTTCGTATTTTCGGTGATCCAGTTTTTCCCAAAATTCACCTCTCCAGAGGACAAGATTTTGCAGTTCGCGCCGGACGTGACGTATCCCCCGGCGCCGTTGTGTTGCATCTACCCCTGTTGGAGAAGCGCTATGACGCTGAGCGTCGGGGGTGGCTTCATCGAATCCTTCGCCTTTGGTGTCTGGGTCTGCTGGGTCTGAGGCTATGTGGGGAGCTGTGGGGATGGGAGATGAAGGAAAACCCAGCCATAAATGGGATATCGTGGGTAAGCCCATACGGATAATTGGAAGGGATACAGTTCATATCTGATGGAAATATGATTGGGAAACCCATCTATAAATGAGGATTTAAATACCAATCAAAATGGGGGCAAACACCAAACATGGGCCTATAATTGGTGATAGTGTCTGATAGTAGGATATTTTGCACCCATTTTGCAGGATGTATAACCCCAATACAATGGGGGTATAATGGGGGTATACTAATCATACTGCTGAGAAAGTACCGCCTTTTCTGTCAGTGGAGATTCGACGGCATCAGCACGGGAGAAAAAATGTGGTTTACCCGGCCTGGTTTCTACATACAAAAAACGATGGAATATCACCATTTTTAATAGGTAAATCCACTATTTCTATGGCCGTGTTCAAGTTCGCAAACTGTAAACGTTTACCAGGCCGGGTACCTGGGATTCTCCAGCATGTGATTTATCTTCAACCAAAGCGTAGGGGTTTCGTAGCTTTGGGGATGACTCATGTGGCCCTTTAGGATCGGTGAAGTGATTGGTTTTATGTTTGAATGCAGCTTGGGCCGAGCTGGATAGTCCAATCGTAGATAGTTGCTTTTTAAAAGCCAAAGTTAGAAAGTTTCCTGTGCTTCAAGGATCACAGTGATTGAAAGAATGATTGGGGCATTTCATTCTAGGATGTGCATTCCAGGAATCGTAAGTCATTGGTCCACACCCCAAAATTGGAATTAACATGTCAAACAAGAAGGCTTGATCTGTTTAACCAAGAATGCGTGGATGTAAACACTAATTTTGGCTTATTACCAATATGAATGCTTTTCTTTTTTTGGATGGTTTACATAGTACTAAAAACGGTCAATCATGTTTTTTTTGATGACAATAATCGTATTCCCCGTAAATGATGGTTCAAAAATCACGGATCTTTAAGTCCATCATTTTACCACTTAATGGAGTCAGAAATGATATACTTATTATATACTTGGTATGGTATGGTTTCCCCATTTGCTATGACATGGTCATTATTTTTATCCGTTAAACCCATACCAAATCAAAGCATCCAATACCAAGTAATTATAAGTATATCATACATGAAAATGGTCAAATCATAGAATTATCATAGTATGATCCGTGATTTGTAAGATATCTTATGTATTTTCACAACTGTCTTGGAAATTCCACACAACTGTCCTTAGGTGGCGAGGCGCCCACGCCCGCGGCACAGCGGGGCGGATCTCAGGTTCGATTTCTTGTCGGGTGTGGATGGTGTGGTGTGGTGACATGGACAGATGTTGGGGAGTTTCAGTGATTAAACAACCTGCAACATTAAACAACCTGCATGGCCATGCTACTAATGGATAAATCAACTATTTCTATGGCCATTTCTCATAGCTGCGTTAAATTGCCAGAGGGTAAATGATGTTGTTATACTGATTAAACAACCTGAAATGACCGTTATATTTTGAGTGATACTCCATTGTTTTATGGCAAGTGTGAGCTAGTCTGTGAGCTGGGAACCGATATCACCCAATTCGGGCCTTAATTTTTGGACAGTTCGGTTGTGTGTGATTTTTTGTACATGAACTGGTAAGTTCTCTTTGAATGCCAACCCTGGATGATTAAAAGATATTAAAAGGTATGCCCAAAATAGTTGTAAATAATCTCATGGCACGATCTGAATAGACGCTTTCCGAACAGAACCCCCAAGTAAAGAGATCGGCCGCTTTCCACCAGGGCTTTTGGGGGTATTTGTCTCGAGAGATAGACGCCCTGACCCGGTGCAGGTGTTATCTGCATACAAAACAGTGGCTTCTCAAAAGTAGCTCACAGCGTCACTTTCTCTTCATATTTGGTACCAGACCTTATCTTTGTATGGGGCCAAAATAAGGTCTGGTACCAAATATAAAGGGGCCACTGACTTAGAAAATGTCCCAATATCCCTTCTCTTCACAGCCTGACTCTTTAATTTGTTCATTTTATCCATATTCTGGGGCCTTTCAAAGGGATCACTCTAGAATTCGCATTCAATTGTGCCAGGTCTCTGTACCCGCACCAGCATCACGCTTCTCGTTGCCCGAGACCCTTGGATATGCCAGGCATCGATTTGGTGGTTGATAACCACTTGAAATACTCCACCTGCATGAGAGGAATGTCAGGCAATTGCAAACTGGTTATGGATTATGATCATCGCTTACTAATTGTTACGCACCTAAAAAAGTGGGGAATTTGTGCTTTCTGAAGTTCCTACTTGGAGATTGAGGCAAATTAATGATGTGAAAAAGTAAACATCTGCTGGTTGGTGGTTTCAGGTATTTGGTTTTTGCCTTCAAGCGTATTTGGGAGATCCCCAATGACATGACGCATATTTTTGGGATTGGTTGAGGCCACAAATGAGACTTATTCGGAGGTTTCCAAGCCATGGGGGTACCCCTTTATCGCTGGATGGTTTATTTCTAAGGGAAAATCCCCATCTCTAAATGGATGATAGCTGGGGGTACCCCTATTTCAGGAAACCACCATATGAAAACTATCTTGGATAGATCTTGGAAAGATAACACACCAGGGGTAAAACCATGATTTAATGGTGATTTAATGGGATTTGGGGGTACCCCCATGACTTAGGAAACTGACTCGGCTGACAAGCCAGGAATCTCTCAAGTGGGCACTGAGGGCATCCCCCCGCAGGCAATTGGATCTAGTTGATGTTGTTCCATTGCAGTATTTTAAGAATACCTCTATCTCTGTCTCTATATTTATCTACATATGAACTAGATAGATACATATATAATCATATTTCATATATATATATAGAGTATATATATATATATGAGGCCTCATATCTTCCTATGGACAAATGTGTCCGCATGAAGTCGAGAACTGCGTTCTCCATTTTGCATCGGTTCCCAGGATGGTGGGCATCAGCAGTTATGCCCCTGCCTCTGCCTTCTCAAATAGGCAGGAGGTCAAAATGGGGACCAGTGAAACTGGTGTTTTAGCAGGATTTTTGGTTTCACCAAATTCCCACCGGCAATGATGCATATGAGACCCATTTTTGTGGCACTTTTGATGGTGAAAATGATGATCAACCATTGGACAGAACTGGTTACCTTGAGATTCATGATTCTGAGAAGCATGGGAACACGTTTGAAAACACATGCTGGTGATGATTTTATTTCCATGCCACCTGGCCTTTGTTTTGCTGCGCATGGGAGTCACCGTGCGAGGCGTATCACCAATACCTGGTTGAACATCCGGAAGCTGTACTGGCCCATCACCAGCCGCACTGTCCCAACGCCTCAGGAGTATCTGCACTGGATCGGGGGGGTTGGCTGACCACAGTGACTGAAAAAGTGACTTTAGCTGAAGAGCTAGACTTGTGGGGCCCTGGGGTGAGAATCCCAGTTGACTACCAGTGCGTGTCAAGAGGTTTCAAACACCCAGCAGATTTATCTTCATTTTTTCTTTCTGTTTTGGTCATTGACAAGTACTTAGTGTGCCGCTTGTGTTCTGGATTCTCGAGACTCAAAATGCCTCCAACAAGTCTGTGCATCCCCGGGGCCATGCAATGTGGTCCAGATCCTAAAGGAGTTTCCGCACAAACTTTAGTACCTTTGTCCGAACTCTGAGATGGCCACTCTTGTAAATAGAGCTGATAGCGATACTGGTCTATTTCAAAGCAATTTGTTTTTAACAGCCACCTGACGAACCTCAGAGTGAACAAAATCGCAGGTGGATTTTTGCCGGAGAGGGAAGGACACCTTTTTGTGTCCAAATGTCGTGCAGGAGGCGCATGAATACGCGCTGGGTGACGGCGGTGCCATTGACAATAGTGGCCTGCTGCCTTTGCTTCAGCGCAGGGCCAGGAAGGCCGGAAGTGAAGCCGCACAGTGTCGGGTAAGACGTTGCGAATGGCTCAAACATGATGTAGCCCCAAAATTGGATGATCACATCATCACATCCTACAAACTACAAACTGACAGCATTTTTGTAGTCAAAAGTCAAGAACGTATTGGGAGAAATTCATTGGCCTGGGCAAGAAACCTTGATATGTTTCGCCTACCCTATGGGCCGGGAATGATCATATACAGACCATTTCCAGCATTGTTTTTACACTGCCCAAATTCAGGGTCCCAAAGAGAACCAAGTGCTCACACATCCTTGATTTTGCTTAGGATTCAATCCTTTTCGACAAATTTCAATATTGCACAGCTTTTCGAGAGATGAGGTGATCTGGATTGCAACCTCCTACATGCCCATGACGGAGTACGACTATGAGAAGGCCCAATATGGCTGTTATACCACAAAGCCAGTGGCATTCGAAAGTTGGAAAATTACGATACAGCATGGGATTTTGGGATACTGCAGCACCTACCCAAGTTTTGGACCAACTCACATGATTTGTATTCTTTTTCTTACCCTTTTTTTGCCTTTGACTATGCATTTCTGGCAGGTGAAATGAATTGAATATCAGCTTATGTGACCACCTTTCTGTCAGTGCGTGTAGGCATAGTGCATTCTCGTAGGAACATCAGATTTCTGCGCAAATGTTGCGAATTCAGATTGCGACATATTGCGACATATTGCGACATATTGCGACATATTGCGACATATTGCGACATATTGCGACATTTATTTGTAAAGAAAAATCATCTTATTGGCTAGTGGTGTGGAGATGCTTGTCATCCTCCGGATTCAGGACGATAAAATCAATTGTGTTCCGACCATCAAACTGAGGAACTCGCTGACCTACAGAGTTTTCAAAGCCTGTCCACCCAAGAATAGATACCATGCTGGAAAGTGATTTATGGGTTCTGACAAAGGGCTTCTGATCATGGGACAAATAGGCAATCGGTTGGCCAGATATTTGGCCCCTTCAACTAGCATCTTGCATGTTTTTCTACTGTTTTGGGGCCACCTTTGAACATTTTTTGATTTTTTAAATCTGTCGTGTGTTGTTCTCGTTATGCCAAGGGTAGACTTCAACTCGGCACGAACAGAGGGAGGATCATCCGATTTTTTCACCCACGGGTAGATGGCCGGCCTACTGATTATGATTGGGGTAATATAAACATAGCTTCATTTGGAACTGGTAGAGCCAAAGAGTTTATAACCTAGTCGAAGTCTTGAAAGAGTGATAGATAAAACCTCAGTGGTCACTTCCTCAGCAAATCTGAATGGTAAAAAGGCATGGTGATTCGGGCAGCAAAGTCCCAAATTCCTTGGTTCAATCCTGATTTTTGGGGGTCCCTTTTCAAAGAAATCATCGCTGTTTCTCTTGGTGCTTCACCTGCCAGGCGACCTTCGGGAACTTCGACCCCTATGAAGCTCAGGTGGTGGACCAGGTGGCCGCGGCCTTTGGATATGGCCTGAACAACAAGGATGAAGGCTACTTCTACTCCAACAACCAGGTCCGGATTGAGCCAGAAGAAGTTGTGAAGTTGAAAACGTGAAGTTGATCCCATCTTGGATGATGTTGTTTTGTTGAACTCCAGCGACCAGATGAACAGCCGGTTTTCACTATGGCGTGTAGTCTGTGATTTTCCAGTTTTGATTCTAGTGGCGGCCGTGTTGTATTGTTTTCCTTCATGGTGTTGGATTTTGCATCTTTTTTGGTTTGGTTGGAGAGTTGAATTTGCGGACTTGATGGGTCTTTTCCAGACTTGGAATTGAAGCTGTGGATCAGCCGGGATACAATTCCCACGTGGAAGGGTTCAGCATTGTTGCACACCCCCCAGAGAGTTTGGTAGAATTGGCTACTTGATGGGCAATTTATGACTTCAAAGGCAACTTTTCAGCCAAAAGGCAGTTGAGGCATGTTGAGGCTATAAATGGGCACAACAAGTATATTCCTCAATTTCCTTCTGATGGTGTTTTTTATACAATGAGATGTCGCCGCTGGAATTTTGGCAGGTCTTCAAAAAAACTGAGCTGCTGCCCATTTGCCGAAAACTGTGGAACCTGAAGTCACAGGGAAAACCGTGCGTCCTCAAAGAGACTTTGGAAGTCTTGCCCAACAACTATTGGGGCATTGTCGGAGGATATGAGGTGCGGAGGTGGTTTGTAGCGAGTGTAAGATGGTTCGCTTCTTGTAGCCGCAGCCAGATACTTTGGTTTGTCTGAAATAGAGTAATTACCCCCATTGCATCCGGTTTAGACAACGATGTTCCTAATTTTATATGACTTCAGGTACAATCCATTTTGGATAATCTCCGGAGAGGGTCTTTCTGGAGAAAGAACTGGTGGCTGCGATTTACCACTGTTGGAATTCCCAATATCTCGGGAGTTATAATCCATGAGCTCGGTCGGCATTCCGTCCTGAACCAACGAGTATGATGAGTATAATCGAACGGTTTTGAACACTCAAATGATGGGTCAGTTTGAGTACAAGACCATCGTCTCTCAGGCCTGAAATTTTGACACACAAATGGAGGTTTCCTGAGTCATGGAGGTACCCCTTGATCGCTCGATGGTTCATGGAAAATCCCATCTATCAAGATTTGGGGGTATCCCCATGGGAAACCTCCAAATCACCAGGTCTCCCTGTTGCTGGTCTACTTGGACCAGTGCACGGACTTCCAGAAGCAGCTTCCGGAGGAAGTGCAGCAGGAAATCGCCAAAGGTGCCGGCGGCGCGTTCGAGAACTTTCCCATCTACAAGACCCGACTGGGCTGCCGTTAACTGTTGAAGTGCCGCGGAAGGTTTGAGAATGTTTGAGAGATTTTTCGGGAGATGTAAAGTGTGAATGTCTAATATATATATATATATACGTATTATACATATATACATATATATATATATGTATATATATATTTGTTTCTTTGCTTGGAACTTGTGGAGAGCAAGTAATGTGTTGACGATATAGTTGCCAAAATGGCTATGCCATTTTGGCTCAAGCTGTTCCCCCTGCGATCCAATACTTTCGAAAAACACGTTCCGATTTTCTTCTTTGGCCATGGCGGCTTCTAGTCCAGTGGCTAGTGAGACTGGCACCGTGGGCTCTTTCTCGTTGATTGGGACAGATTTGGACGCAGGGGACGATTACATGGTGCTTTCCACCCAGGTGACCGAGGCTGCGCCGGCCGAGGTTACTACAGAGATTGAAGATGATCCCGCCATCACCAAGGAGACTCTGGCTTCGCAGCTCCATGAGATGGAGAAAGTGATGGCAAACTTGGGCTTGGAACCCAAGCCGGAGACAAGTGTGGAAGCGTCAAGTGGGCCACCTCCGTCGGGTTTCGTCCATGCAGTGGCACAGATTCCGACCCAGACATCACGGGTCTTCGAGAAGGAGACGTTGACACTCCACATGGATCCGACCACAGAGACCTTCACCATCGAAGGCTGGGCACCTTTGATTCCGGCCCTGCCTCACTCGGCTGCCAAGTATTTCAGAGACATTACGCATGGTGAGCTGCGTTCCCTTTTGGATGCTTTCCGCAGTTCTCCGTGGACGGCATCCTTGGTGGTCAAGATCGCAGAGGTGTACCACATTTCGAAGCGCGAGGCTGTCCACACACAGATGTTGAAACTCCGGCACACCACGCAGCGTGGGGGATCCATGGTGAATTTGAAGGAGAAGGACCCTGGAACTTCTCCGCAATTAGTTTGTTCTGATTGCAATGCACCGTGGGGACAGTTATCCAAATGTTTGCTTTGTCAAGGCTCTCAGCCTGTTGACCTGTCAATGACACCTTTGTCAGTGATTGAGGTGGCCGGCCAGTCCTGGCAACTTAGGCTCACTGAGGCGGGACCGACTTGGGTTCCCACAGATACTAAGGTTACTAAGGCCTCAGGCTTTGTGGAAGTGGGAGATCTTGGCCGACCTCCCCCTGCGGCAGCTTCGGGCGCCGATACGGGGCTGGTCAGCTTTTCGGAGCAAGTTCCTGCCTCCCAGCGCATGACACTGCAGCAGCACGTGGTGGCTTTCGGGCAGGACGAGATCTTTCATCCAGATGGCGAACGCCCCCCCACTATGGATGATCGAGACTCTACTCAAACTGCTGTGATCTTTCATCCCAAGACCATTGAACTGATGCGCTTCAAGGTGGACTTGCTGGCCACGCCAGAAGAAGAGCTTACGGAAGCGGCACAGGAGGCCAAGCGGAGGAAGAAGGAGATTCAACACCAGCAAGAGACTGTGGCGATGGATGATGAGCTGCATACACTGACTGCCATCCAGCAGGGTGCACAGGAAACCCAGAATCCGGTCAGTGCCAAGATGCTCCGCCACGCTGACCTCCAGCAGTTTAGGTCCTACCTCAAAAGAAAACATGAAGAAAGTGGTCTCACCTCCTCCTACGAGGCTTTGGTGGCGGCCCAGACCACACAGGAGAAAGCGGCGGCCGCAAACAAGGCACTGGACACAGAGTTCAGAGACCGACGTAAGGCCCTCAAGCCCATTGAAGTGGCGTCCTTTTCACTGTGGACCCCGGCCCTGCAAGAGGCATGGCAGAACAACCTCTTCGCGCCGGCCATGGGACCTCAGGGCCCTGAACAATTTGACATGGAGGCACTGAAGCAACCCTACCTCCGAATGAAAGAGCTCATCAAGGATAACAAGCCTCCGCTGTCCCAAGACCGCCTCATGACGGAGTTCCCCAAAACGCAACTCGACATGTACACCACGGGGACGGAGATGATATCTTCCCAAGAGGCCCAGTTAGCACGACTCCTCCCGCCGGACAGCCTGGAACGCAAGTACGCAATCCTTGACTCCATCTTGCAGTACCACAAAGGTGAAGTCAGAGCCTGGGGCGGAGAGTGGGAACTGCGACAGGGCCCGCTCACGGCACCTGCCTGGGCGAAACCGGCACCTACGACTGAGGTCTTGGCTTTGGAACTCAGGACAAACCCGCTGGGCACTTCCTTCTACACGCCCGAAACCTACACAGAACAGGTGGTCCTGCAACAGATTGCTGAGGGCAAGCGACCCGACCTGGACAAGATCATTGGCTTCTTCTGGGCCCCGGGGACGGCGGTAGCTTCTGGCACCGACGACACCCACCTGGTTCGGAGGGTGCAATCATGGGACCTTCCTTCAATGATCACGATGCTTGGACAGTCCTGGACGTTCAAGGAGATCTACCAGGCTTGGTGTGGCATGCCGCTGATCGTCAAACCGATGCGCAGAGGGCACGGGGAAGGCATCCGCCAGAAGAAGGTGGCAGAGCTGGCGGCACACCGGCAGAGGACTTCAGAGATCAAGTCCTTCCTCACCAGTGTGGGCCTCCGGTTTCCCCAATCACAACATGAAATCAAGCTGCTCTACAAGGAAATTGGCAGCTTTTTGGCTGCCTCGGTTTTCTTAGCCAGAACCCCAGCGGTGGTCTTGGACTTGCCCGAGCAGGACATCCAGGACACAAAGGAGCAGCTCCGTTTTCGAGCGGTTTGTGATGAACGCATCACCTTGCCCTTGGATGCTTTCAGGCAGCTCCCGGACGTTTTCCAGGCGCTGTCAGCCACTCTGGGGGCCCACAGCATGGTGCAAGTGCAAGTTGCCTGGCGGTGCAACTGTGAGCTATGGTGGGTTGCCCTGGTTCCCCATGAGAAGGCGGAGAGCTTTTATTGCCGTCTGGGCTACTCCCAGGCTGAGATTGATGGCTTCCTGAAGACTGCGCTGGAACCGGAGGCTCTGCAGGCGACTACGGTAGCTTCGGGCACCGGTAAGTACCCAGAGCTCTCCTTGGAGAACGTGGTGTCCATATGCAGCCCCAAGTACAAGCGGGAGCACTACGGCCACCGGGGAGTCCATGCTTTTTGGGGCCGCACGGATTGCGGGCTCATCCTCAGTAGCATCAGTCCATGGGAACTGAAGACGAAGGAGGCTGGAGTGACTCGTGGAGGATGGGTCTGCAAGGCCTGCCAGGGCTTTTGGCGACAAGGGAAAGGAGCTTCCCGCTTTGTCCAATTGCTTGGAGAACACCGGGGAGTCAAAGTCAACCTCCAACTTATCTTGGATGAGCCACCCCAACAGCTGTACAACAGCTGGGTGAAGTCCAGGCTTGAGTATTACAAGCGAGTGGAGCCGATTGCGGCCCCGCGAGATGTGGCATTGCAAGTAGACCCTGACCACACCCAACGCTTGAAGTTTTCTTGCCAGAATGGCAATGGCAATGTCTCCAACGCCATTTGGTCGGTCCTTCTGAGCAACTCTGACCTCGAGGGCCTGCAGAAGATCAACGCGCTGGCAGCGAGCAGAGTCCGGCCTGCCTGAGAGCGGAGTTTTTGCGAAGGGCTGTTTTACTGACCTGGTGGCCTGGTAGCGTCTTGCACCAACGTCACCACTCGGTTCTGCAGACACCTTCCCTTTTTTTTTGTATGAATAGCATTGGTTGCGCACCACGACAAGGGCCAAGACGGGGGCCAGACCGCTGGGATGCCAGCTCACACAGTGAAAAGGGAAACCTGCATGTGGCTGCCTCAGAATCATTTACAGCATGCTGCTATTTGAACATTGCTGCGTTTTACCATGTTTGACCTTGGTTTGATGTTATTGGTATCCTTTCGGGCTCCGCCCATTACGCTGATGTGACAGATGTCCATGTGACTTGCACTCAGTTCTGTCCAATTGCAACTCTGATAGTTTTTCCTGGGCTTTCGGTGTTGTTCTTCCAGCTTGCTTTTTCACGTGTTAGTGCTCCGCACACCCGCGGTACCCCTTTTGGGCCAGGCTTGGCCATAGTAGAGTCGGGACATCATGGAACCCGATCTTGTGCGTAGAACACCTTTTGGCCTGGCAATGGTTCGGCTCCCTGAACACATGCGAGACAGCCTGCTGGACCATGGCATTTTCCCCACACAAACGGAGGGGGAGTTGTTCATGCAGCTCTGCATGCAACAAGTGCCACCGGACCATCCGGAGGCCATGGATGGGGGAACCTGGACCTCTCGGGTACACCCCAGCAATGACATCGACCCAATGAACGTGGCTCACAGTAACTCCATGATGGTGGCTACCACGCCCTGGATGGAAGACTTTGTGGCAGACTGCATGAACCGGGTGCCACAACCAGCGCCCCCAGAAGAGAGAGATAGGACCTATGATGCATGTTTCAGCCTCTTCACTTTGATTGCGGGCGCACCAGATTCAGCCTTCCACACACCCCTTCAACAGCAACAGGAAAGCATGGACCGGGCTAGATGGCGAGCCTTTCATGCACGGCCTCCCATAATGGCCATTGTGGAGGCCAAATGGAGGCACTGGAAGCCTGGGCGACTCAAGGAAGAGTCGGCTACAACCCAAAGGAAGTTAGAGCTCCACCTCAGAGACCGCTGGGCAGAAAGGATCATTGGGCTCCTTCTGCTCTTTGCCAAAGACATCCCTTACCTGCATGCGGTCCACGGGGACAATGTTCACCAGGAGTACTTGGACCTCCTTGGAGACACCAGGTTCAGGACCTTGCGTATTCATTGCCTTTGCTTCGAGAGCATCCAGAAATTGGGCTTCAACACAATTCCTTGGAAAGAAAGTGATATTAGATCTCTTCTGAACACCCTGAGGGACCAGGAGATCACACCACACAAACTCCAAGGGATATGGAATACCCTAAGATGGTTCTCGGCCAGGTTTGGCCTCCTTGACCCTGACAGTCTCGAACGTCTCAAGGCAAAAAGGAAGACCATCCAAGAAGGCCTGGTGGAGACCAACATCAAGCCTCAGCGCAAAGCCCAGCTGCCTT